CGGAGGAGATGGAGATGGGGATGGGGATCGATTAAACGATACCGATAAATCAGGCGGACAGTGCCGCCCTCGCCTTCATTCTCAGCTTCGCCAGCTTGTTCTCCATGAAATGGGGGTTGTTCTGGGTCGACATCTCGGCCAGCTTCTGCTTCACCGTCACGGTGCTGCCTGCCGGCTTGGCCTTCTCCCAGGCCTCCTCGAGGCCCTTCTCGTAGTCGTCCTTGTTCAACAGGCCCCTGAAAGGATCGCTGCGGTTCTTCCAGGCGGGAACCATGTCGTACTGGGCCTGCTTCTCGATGTTCTTCGGCGCATTCGGGTTCAGCTGCCAAGCGAAATCGTCTGAGAAGGTGTACAGCAGGAAGGCCGCGAACGCGATGCCTGGGACGATCAGGGTGGTCAGCGGCACCAGTATAGAGTGCCACTTCCTCTGGTCGCCGTACTTGGCCTCCGCGTCCTCGGCCAGCATCGTCAGCGCGGGCAGTGCGGCGGACACGGCGAGCGCGGGGCTGAACTGGCCCAGCGCCTGCGGCGGTGGCGCGGCCCGCGGCGACGGGACGAACGCGCTGCGGACCGCCCACGCGGCGGACAGCGCGGCCGCGACGGCGAGGAGGCCACGGCCCGGGCGGCGCGGTGCCATGGCCGAGGGCCGAAGAGGCGCAAGGCCCAGGGAGCGCCTGCAGCGAGCCTTCCAGGCCAACACGGACTGTGCCAAAATGGCTACGGACAGGGGCCCCAGCAGTCGACCACCTGCCGGTGCAACCCAGCCTCCATGTCACGAGACGAGCTCTGGGCGTCGGAGTCGAAGATTCCCATTGTGGGCAGCGAGGCGGTGGCGGAGCTCGCCAGCCATCTCCTCTTCCAGGACGCATGTGCGGAATTGACGACGATCGGACGACCATGATGGGATGAGTGCATCTTGTTTGTTTGGTCCGAGTGCCTCTGCATGGAAAGCCGCTCCCTGGCACAGGAACCCGAAGGCCGAAAACTGACAAATTATCCTGGCAAAAAAATACAATTGTGGATGACGCGTTGTGGGCACCGCTTTCGGTGGAGCTTCCTTGGCGGTCACGAAGCGCGTCAGGGGTGTGCCGACTCGGGCACGGTGGCGCCATTCGATCGCGACCACTGGAGCCTTCTGTGGAAGTCCTCATGGGGCCACGACACGTGTAAGGGGTATGCCAACAAGGGCGCGGCGGTGCCGTGCGATTGTAGCCATTGGAATCTTCGGTGGAGCTCCTTATGTGGCCACGAAACTTGTGAGGGGGGTGCCTGAATGGCCGCGGCTGTGCCATGCGAACCTTGCCGCTGGGGCCTTCGGTGGAGCTCCCTACGCGGCCTCGAAACGTGTGAGGGAGATGCTGAATGGGCGCGGCGGTGCCATACGAATGAAGCCGCTGGGGACCTCGGTGGAGCTCCCTGTGGGGCCACGAAACGTTTGAGGGGTGTGCCGATGGGTGCGGTGTTGCCTTGCGAACGCAGTCACCAGGGTCTTCGGTGGAAGTCTGTATGAGGCCACGAAACATGTGAAAATGTACCGAAATCACTGCGCGAACGCCATGCCAGCGCAGCCACTGGGGCCTCCAGTGGAGCTCCCTATGAGGCCACGAAACGTGTGAAGGGTGTGCCAACACGGACGCAGTGGCGTCATACGAACGCAGACATGGGGGTCTTCGGTGGAACTCCCTATGGGGCCACGAAACGTGTGAGGGGCATGCCGAAACGGGTGCGGTGGTGCCCTGCGAACGCAAACACTGGAACCTTCGGTGGAACTCCCTATGGGGCCACGAAACGTTTGACGGGTGTGCCGAAATTGGCGCGGTGGCGCCATGCGAACGCAGCCATTGAGGCCTTCGGTGGAACTCCCTGTGGCCGCAAAAAGTGTGAAGGGCGTACCGTGGGCAGAGGCAAAGATGTGAGGAGGGGGAGGCGAGGGGAGTTGGGACGCGGGGCGCTCGCTGTCTGTTGGAAGCGAGGACCCAACACCACAGGATGGTTGAGAAAAAATTGTGTGATCTGGTCAGGACGTGAAGAGATTTACGCCCCTGGGGTCAAAACATGACCTCTGGATCTCTCCAAGGGCGCGCCACTATTAGATTGCCGATCCACCCATCAGTCGCCTTCGTGCTGAGCGCGGAAGTCTGGATCCAAGAGTAGAACGATACGACTTGACCCCAGGACATACTCAAGGGAAGGAGCATGAGCATCGTTTAACCGATCCCCGATCCCCATTGGCATGGCTTTGGCCCCTCTGACCGTTTCATCCCACCTGGGTGAATGGGCAGCTGGGGCTCAGGTACCATGGCCAGGTGGGGATGGACGGACGGACGGACGCGCAGCTGACGAACACAGAGGTATGGCCCATGAGGGTGGCGCGCTGGCGCCGCACCCCCTCCCTTGATGACGCACACGACGAAGCCCACAGCAAGGCGGGCGACTCCTCGAGCTGAACTGCCCCCAAGACCTGCACGTGAACGCGGCTTCCTCTTAAACGTATGAAAAATGTGGATCGAGCGCCGAGGGGGCATTCTAGTCGCTTTTGCGACGACGCGAATGCGAAGATGGCGACGATGACGACAAAGACGACGAAGACGACAACGACGACGACGACGACGACGACAACGACGACGACGACAACGACGACGACAACGACGACGACGATGACCACTTCGAGACAGCCCGCCTGCGCGCACCACAACCGCACGGGTGCTGGGCCAGGGTCGGACTCTGGCCCACCGCCACGAACACATGCATTAATCAGCCAGCATGTGAGCAGAACTCGTCTGCCAATCACCCCGGAAAGCCGACTCGTTTGCAATTGCAATCCAGTTCGCGATGTCCACGTCGTGGTCAACATTCCTAAAGAACTGCACGAGTTCGTCTGTCCATCTCCTTCGTGGACGGCGTTGGTTGACAGCCTCGTGGTCGGGGGTCGTCTGCCGCGCACCGCGTGACAAATTCCTCCGCCCAGTGATCAGAAGGCATAGCGGCGACTCGCGCCGCGCAACGTCAGACTTTGCGCCTCCACGCAGCGCACCAGCTGTCGATATGTGTTGCGCAGTATGGTGTCCACAATACACGTTGCTCGCCGTAGCCAGCCAATATAATTCTCTACGATATCATAACGTGCATCCGCGACTGTTGCACTCCCCACCGGGGAGGCTGACGAAGAAGATGTACCATCTTTGTCTGACTGGTCTATATGCCTCCTGCGTCTTCTTCCGATGCCCACATCATCCAGCGCATTCGACGTTGCGGTGTTTTGGGCTTCTGTTGCGCGGCTACCGAGAGAGGCCAACTAGAAGAACCGTACAGAACAGGAAGGGGTAGACACACTCTCGAAGAGGCGCAGCCAGCATTTCAAGGAATATCTGTTGAAAGTACATTCTGATTAGTTTGCCCTGAAGGCCCTTCATCCCTGCCGCATTATGTGTTCGATCTCCGTGCCTACTGGGTTCCCGAGTGTGGTTCGCCTTCCAAGATAGCCCACAGCAACGTCAACAGGAACGATCCCGATCTGCAACTCATCGATTGTAGCGAGTGTTGTCTTACCTTTTCCTGTACCCGTGCAAGCATTGTTACGGATGGCTGTTCTACGCAGAAGCCCCACGGAGGCAGCTGAGCTTCGCGCGCCTGATACCATTCGAACATGTATGCTGCCAACTCTGCACAACGAGGGAAACGTCATCCGCGAAACTCACGCCTGTCAATCGGCCCAGTCCTGCGGATCCGAATTACAAGCAATATTTCTTGTTTCTCTGCGGCTCCTTTGCAAATGTCACCTGGCAGCGCGTGAAGAGTAGCGTTCCCAACGGGTCCCTGGCAACGTCTGTCCTTACTCGCCCTTGTTGTCCACTGTATAGTTTGAACATCCAACGTATGTACGGAATCTACACTCCCTTCTTCGCCATGGTGTTCCGTAGCGCATGGTGTTCCACTGCACCGAATGCCATTGGGAAGTCGATACGGTGCACCACATTGGGATCTGAAGTATTCGGACTGCTCCTGGTTCTGGTGCAATGAAAAAACTGGTCCTTCGTGGCTAAGCCGCTGCGAAAGCCAGCCTGGTCAGAGCTCTTGCCAGCGTCCAGAATTAGTGTCCGATATACAGCAGCCTGGAAAAGAGCTTGTACAGCATGGGGATCATTGTGATGGGCCTGTAGTTTTGGCACGTCCTTCGTCTCCTGTGTTCAAAATCACTGCAATCACAGATTGTCCCCAGCACTGCGGCGGCTCAGCGTACGGAAAGAATGTCATTACATAATTGCTGTAGTGCCTCAACCAACACGCCGCTAGCTTAAATGAACATGTCTCCAATAGCCCCATTGTCTATCTGCGCTGCGATTTGCTTCGAGATTCACAATTGCCTCGAGAACATCTTTGATCGTAAACTCTGGCACGCTTCCCTGCACAGCGTCTGATGTGAGAGCAGGGATAGCTAGCTCTGAACAGCTACATGCAAATACTCCTCGTAGAAAAAGGCAAGCACGTGTTCAATGCCAAGCCTTGTTATGAAAGTCTCACCACCATCCAGCATGCAAAATGACAACGGTTTTTGTGCCGTGCTTTGACATGCTGTCTGCCAGCCCAGAAAGCTTGTTCAAGATCACGTTCATAGCATCATCGGCCAAGGTCCTTCTCATTATTCGCGCTGCGTCTCGCAGCAGATGTTTGCTGACATCCGTTCGCTTTACCCCAGCAGTGTTCGGCAAGGCTTGCCGTTCCCGAACCGGCGCCTGCTACTTCGCATCCTGCGATGTGGCAACATCGTTTTTGACATCATTGTTGTAGATTGCGTTCAGCGACGCCGACTCCACAAAGCCACTTCGAGACGCGCAGACCACAGACGCAGGTTATTCCTACTGCAGCACGGTCTGAGACCGTGCTGCAGTAGGAATAACCTGCGTCAATGAGCTAGCATACCCAGCTGCGAAGGCTGTCTGCCATGGAGCCCTGCACCGTTTATCTTGTATGAGTTGCCCTCTGCCTACGTTGCGACGCCGATGACGATTGCGAAGGGTCATCTTCACAGGCCCGAACCGAGGTCCAAGCAGTGTTCCGATCCACAGCTCATCGCTCTTCGGGGTCACCGGGGCTGCGCAGCACTCAGAACGTCGGAGAGCTCGGGGCCCTTTCCTGCGGCCTCTCGTGGTTGCGGGACCACCTGAACGCGGCAGCACGGCAGCTGGTCAAGATCATCATCGAGTACGACTCGGAATACGCGGCCAGCGTCAAACAGCGACGGGCCCGGGCACGGCAGAATCTTAGGCTCGTGCTGAGAGCCCGCCACATCTACGACTGGGTCTCTTCCTTCATCGAACGGCGCAAGGTGGAATCCCACATGGGCCAGTTCTTCAACGAGCGAGCGGACCATCTCGCCAATTGCGGCGCGAGTGGCATGTGCTGTGGGCTGCTGGATGTGACCCGGTGGGCCCGACACCCTTCGAGCTGATCTTGCACAGCCGCAGCAGGTAACATCTTGTGGCTCTAGTCTTATGTCATCAGCATCGTCACCTACCTCTTCTTCTCCTTCCCCTTCGTCATCGAATGACTCGGCAAGTGCTGCCGGCATGCCCTGGCGTCGTGTTCTGCGACCTGGTGCTCGTCACGTTATCTACAAATCTTGCGGCATTGTGGTTAGAGCGTGCTGGTCGTCTGACCTGTGGTGTCAGACTTACCGTATGTGGCCCTGCGGTGCTTCAATGTTGGGCGAGCTCATCGAGCTATTCTTGGTTTCTTCGAGGTCAGGCAGCCCCTGATCATTGTCATTATATGTTTCAGTCGATCTGCCGAGCTTTCCCCTTCGTACTTGTACACACCCCCCCCACCCCCCTGCAGAGCGGACCCCGCCCCCTGTAGCCCCCTTCCCCTGCAGAGCGGACCGCCCCCCCCCCTCCCTGCAGCCCAGCCCCCCCCCGCTGCAGAGCGGACCCCGCTCCGTGCAGCCCCCCCCCTGCAGAGCGGACGCCCCCCCCCCCCCCCCCCCCCCTGCCCCTCCCCCCTGCAGAGCAGACTTCCTCTCCTGCAGCCCCTCCCTCCTTCAGAGCGGACCACCCCTCTCCCTTGCAGTCCCTCCCTCTGCCGAGCGGACTCCCCCTGCAGAGCAGACCCCCTCCCCTGCCCTCTCCCCTGCAGCATCATCCTGATCATCATCTTGCGGAGCGCCCCGGATCGGCGGCACTGGCCGGAGGCCACTACAATATGTTTTAGTCAATCTGCCGAGCTTTCCCCTTCGTACTTGTATGCGTCGTCATTATTGCTGGCGGTTTTGAGGAAACAGTGCTGCGCAGCACGAGGCCTTCTACTGTCGCCCAGTGCTCGAGCCACTGGCCTCTGGAGTTATCTTCATTCAGCCTACAAACTTTATGTGAAGACCGCTCCTCTCCACTTTCATGCTATCCTTTCGGCGCAGATATTGGATTGGATATTGAGCCCGATGACTATCGGCCGTGATGGGAAAAGGACGCCTTCTCTCCCTCACCTCATCCTCTACCAGACCCTACAATAGGTTCGACCCTTCGATTACCCAACCTCCATTCACACAAACTCCGAGCACAGCCAGATCGTCGAACTCCGCCCGGCTGTCAAGCTGGGCTCAGAGCAAAGACTCAGCCGTCGCCCGTGTGCTGAGCGCGGAAGCCTGCAGCGAAGCGTGGAACGATACGGGATCGATCCCAAAACGCATCGGAACCACAGAGGAGAGGGAGAGGGAGAGGAGACAAAGGCCCCCCGAAGACGCGAGGCAGGCAACTGGAGCCTCTTGCAGGCCTCTTCGGGCCCTCTTGAAGGCTTCTCGAGCCGTCTTTGAGTCACCTGGGAGGCGATCGATCAAAGAAGGGGGGGGGGCCGGCCTAACAGAATCGCCACAACCCCCCCAAAAAATGCCAAAATTTGCCCAACATCTGAAGAAGATCCTTGACGCTCGCATTCTCGCGGAGGCCTTCTCGGGCGCCTCGCCGTCGCTCAGACGCCCACTCCCCGCTCATCTCTCGGCTTCGCGCGCGCACCTTTCGCAAGATGCCCTCAGATGCTCCTCGATGGTCCTGGGCCAAAGAGTAAACGCACGCGTCCGAGCGATGCCAAGACGCTCTGACGACCCGCGAAGCCCACCGCGCCCACCTGGGTGGAGGGCCCCCCATCGGCGCGCGGAGCCTCGAGGCACGGGCGCCGGCACACCAGGCAGGGCCGCGGGCCCACCTCTGCGGGGATGAGGGGGGGGGGGCGGCGCGAACGAGGGGCAGGCGCGGGGCCGATCCTCCACTGAGCTAATTCCTCCTCCTCCTCCTCCTCCTCCTCCTCCTCCTCCTCCTCCTCCTCCTCCGTATCCTCCTCCTCCTCCTCCTCCTCCTCCTCCTCCTCCTCCTCGTCCGTATTCTCCTCCTCCGCCGTATCCGGCGTATCCTCAATATCCCTCCTCCTCCTCCTCCTCCCCCTCCTCCTCCTAATCCTCCTCCTCCTCCTCTCCCTCCTCCTTCTGATTGTATTCCTATGATTATTGTCCTTCTGATTGTTCGCGGTAATATTTGTATTTTGTTGCTATGACTCGTAATATCAGTACGATGTTTCGCATTCTCGTTCGAATTATAAAAAGTATGAGTGATCTTCTTTTTAACATGACTATTATTCGTATTATGCGCATGTATAGTAATACTAAGAATAGCATTCGTATTTGTTCCTAGTCTTCATATTACTATCAGCTTGAGTACTACTACTAGAATTCGTAGTATTATTCTGATCCCCTTACAACTATTGCAGTTCGTCTTCATCTTCGTCTTCTGATTCCAAATAGTACTGTATGGGTACTCTTACTTATATTACTACTATTACTTGTATGAGTACTAGTACTACTATTACTACTACTACTACTACTACTACTACTACTACTACTACTACTACTACTACTACTACTACTACTACTACTACTACTACTACGACTACTACTACTACTACTACTACTACTACTACTACTACTACTACTACTACTACTACTACTACTACTACTACTACTACTACTACTACTACTACGTACTACTACACTAATTACTACTACTACTACTACTACTTACTACTACTAACTACTCTAACTTACTACTACTACTACTACTACTACTACCACTACCACTACTACTACTACTACTACTACTACTACTACTACTACTACTACTTGTGCTACTACTACTACTACTACTACTACTACTGCTACTTACTGCTACTACTACTACTTCTACTACTACTACTACCACTACTACTACGACTATGACTACGACTACGACTACTGCAATTACTACTACTACTACTACTACTACTACTACTACTACTACTAATAATACTACGACTACTACTACTACTACTACTACTACTACTGCTGCAACTACTACTACTACTACTACTACTACTACTACTACT